AGAATAAAGCTTTCAAAAATTTCTTCTTTCTTTCTTTCTTTCAAATTTCTTTAAAAAAAAAAGATTTTTGGCAGAGGGCGAATTTTGGAAATTAGGCATAGGATCTTGAGCGCGGGATGTGATGGCATTTATCACGTGGCAAAAAATTGTCTTTGAAGCGGGCACGCTTTTGCAAACGATATGAATTTATTCGATTAAAAAAAACGCTTATGCCTCCATCCTCCTTTTTGATGGGGAATGCGTCAGTTGCGCTGCCGATGGCCGACCGGATGTTTCAGGAACCTATACGAAGCATATTACTAATTTTACAAACTTTTCTAACCTGGGCCCTTTCATTAATGATTTGAACAAGCTCCCACGTCGGCTCATTTTCCACCATAAGCGGCGGCATAAAGTCAATACGTTTCCGTACCGTATCCCAGTGTGCGCACCAGCAGTAGCAGGAACCGGCCCGTGTGCGTTGTACCTGTTGACGATCTCGGCCATGCGGGGGATGTACTGCGAGCGTGCCGGGCCCGCCTGCTGCGGATTTCGCAGCTCCCGGTATTTCCAAACGTGCACCATCAATTCTTTGGCCAGAATCCTGCCGAGTTCGTCAAGTTGAATCGGCGAAATTTCTTGGCTTTTTTGTTTGCACTCGTACTTTCGGCAACGATTGGCATCCAGGGTCTTGCCGACGCCCGTCAGTTCCGATTGTATAAAACGGAACACGTCTTCGGCCTCTTGTCCTTCGATTTTCGATTCTCGCCACTGCAGGTGTTCGCCATTTTCTTCAAAATACGCCTCGATTGCCTCGATCGTAATATGTTGTTTCATAGCCGCAAAAAGTTTGGCCTCGACCCGGATGCATCGTTCTAGGTCGACATTTCCGATTATAGCCACCTTCAAGTAGGTTCGGTGGTCATCTTGGTACAGATTCGTAAACCAGGAACTGCCCTCGTAACGTAGATATGGATTGTCGGCGGCGTCAAGCTCCTGAAGGCGAGGATTGCCGGTTAGCCAAGGTTCATGGCTCGCATCCACCAGGATTAACGAAACTTGTTCGGGATGCCTGCAAGGAATTTTTATCAACAAGGTAACCTGCGTTTTACGTTTGCGAAATATGCTTTTGGTTGGAACTACGTGGGTTTAGGGTTAGATTTCGTTTTGGCTTACAAGGAAACGTTTTTGGGTGTCGCCGGGATTTTGGCATGGCCCGATCTAGTGCAGAATTCTTCGTTGATTCCGAATATGTCAATAATTTTTGAGTGCGGAATGGCTATTTCTCGACGTTATGAACAATTTAAAGCTAAAAACGGCCACAAATCGGCTACTTAGGAAAGACTTAAAAAGCGTCGGAATAGGTTTTAGAAAAAAAATCAGCTAGTGCCTCGGTTCAGAAAAAAATTCTTTATCAAAAAGCTACTCCACTCAAGAATTTTGAAAGTTCAAAATTTGATAAAATGATCGACATCAAATGTTTCCAATTTTTTTTTCATTTCAATTTCAATTTTTCTAAAATATTGATTAAAATGGTTTCAACATTTCAAAATTGATTACTATATCCGGAAACAGCGCAAATTTTGCACAAGATAGGCTTGATCCTATCGAAAGTCCGGAGGACACTGAAAAACGTCTCCTTGTTTGGGGTCACGAATCCATGAAAATGCAGACTTATGCAAGCACCTCAAAAACCCACCTCAATTTGAAAATGCTCCAGCCGCTAAATCTCTTCAGCGGCACCCTGGCTCTCCAGTGTTTTTCGCCGGGAATCGCTCGGCAAGGGTAAACACTTTTCTTCGGGATCACCGCTTCTCCGGCGTTGGAACACTCCAGGGTAGTCGTGAAGAAGACGGCTGGGTATAACAGCATCCCTTCATCGTAGGCCCGATGGTTCGCCAGGCTCCAGCGCAAATATTCAAATGAAGGGCAGGGCTCCTGAACTTTGGTTATGAGATAAAAAAAGTTTTCAAACAACACCATAAAAAGTACAGGACGTCCCAAAAAAGCACCCCTCCCACATTTCACCGTATCCGATCGATGCCAAAATGGACCAGAGGTGTATTAGACCCTTAATAACCACAATCCTGACTGATAGCCTTATAGCTACAGTAGTTTTCGCGATACAGCAAAAATACACTAGATGATTTTTTCGTGGGGTTTTCGTCGGGATAAAAATGCCCTTGGAATGTTAAGTGAAAATGATGCGGCAAGCCTTCTTTACCCAAAAACTAAAAAGCCGGATCAAAATTGACCAACAATCGCTTATTCAAACGGTTTCTGCAACCAAAAAAACACCCCCCGATAGCCGGAATAAGGTATTCAAAGCCGAAAGTCGATGAAAACCTATGGAAAGTACAAAATAACCGGAAAACTGCTATGAAACGGGTAAAAACAGTATTTTGGCAATGACTTGAATAATATTATACTTTAGCGATCAGGCTGCCAACCCCCTGTGCAAAGTCTGGGACCGAACGGATGCAAGACGGCCATCAGCCGGAGGGGCGCTTTTTTGGGACACGAGCTCATTTCTACCGTTGCTTTGATATTTGTCACGTGGAGCGCGTAGTGGCATCTGTGGCGGGCGGGCGGTGACGGTAATTTCTTCTCAGGAGTGGTCATATTTAAACGACCTAAATGGAAACCTATGCTGGGCTTGGACTTTACTTTACACCCTCCAAGCCGGAAGTTTCCAAAAGTTTCTCGCTATAACGTTCCTATATTACATTTTTTGGGCTGTAATTAAAAACCTTAGTATCATTTTTTGATGCTCTAGCGAATGGCGTAGCGAAATCTCGACAAAAATAACGGAATTGTCGGAAAAATTTTGGGAACTTCCGAATGGGCCAATAAGTGAAGCCTAGCCCTAGAGGCGTAAGAAAATATACACGTATCGAAAAAGAGGTCAATGTAAGACTTGCTCGAATAGCTGCCGGATTTACGCAGCGGTTGCGAAAAATGGATCGATAATCCGAGGCTTGGTCAACCAGACCGGTTGGGAAAGGGATGTCGCCCTAATTATGTCGGGCACTGGGGGCCACACACGTTGTACACCCGGCCTGAACATCGGTCGCAGACGCTAGGTCAAAAAGATCGGATCTTCGAAAGTGCAAAGAGAACAGGGCCCCACAAAGAAAGACAAAAACATGGCCGGAGTGAAAGCGGAGGGAGAGACATTGGGCGAGAGAGCGCGGGACAGAGAAAGAGAGAGATCCTGAGAGATAGAGATAGAGAGAGGAGAGAGAGAGCGAGAGAACAATATCGAAAGGCTTTAAAGGGCCTCGCAAGGAAGTAGTTTGCTTACGCGATTAAAATCCGCACCTGGGTTCGATTGGGCAAACCGGCTGCAATTGCCGATCAAAAGAGCAAGCGAGGGCCCAAACACCAGCGCTAATTTTGCGATAGCTCAATCAATTAGCAAAGCCGGAAAATCTCTCTCTTTTCTCTTCCGAACAAATACTCTATCAGCCTCCCCTCTCTCTCAATCTCAAACTCACTCTCACTCACTCTCACTCTTTCTCTCTCTCTATCTCTCTCTCTATATCTCTCTCGCTCTCTCTCTCTGCCTCTTAGCGGTCTGGCTTTCCCATCAAGTTCCACAGTCGAAGATACAAAAGCGCTGCCTTTGTGACATCAACTTGCGCTGCGCCACATTATGTCATCAATCCGGTCATCAAAATTTGTAGCACAGACCTATAATTATGCTTATGGCAAGTGTAATATTTTTAAGAAATTCTTTCA